GGCATCTTTACACACAGCGTGATAAGGCTGTTAACCCCTTCACTATCAAGCAGTTTTTGTTTGAAAAACAATTTGCATATCATGTCATATATTTGAAACAAAAGATGCATTGGGAAAAGATTTATACATTATTCAGAGTCTTTATCTGGCAATATCTTTCAAGAGGTCTGAAATGTTAGTACAAAAGCAAAATACAATATTTCTCAAAATACGGTAGGTGTGATAAAAAAGTTTAAAAAAAAAAGCTTACATGTATTCGTAAGAACCCTGATGGTACTACTAGCAGCAAAGCTTACACAAAATAACAGAAAAAAGAATATAAATAGAATGCATTTGAGCATAATGCCCAAATAGAGATAAGTCATATATTTCTATAAATTAAACGTGCTATGTAAATCTTTATCACTTTCTGGGATGCTAATGTAATGCTAATAGTGAAATTGGAGAGACCACTCACTCCTACCTTCTCCCTCCCTGAATGTAATAATGGTATAACCCATTGAAATTTCCTTTACTGTTCGAAAGGAGGAGGTAGCTGACATTTGCAGCATAACTGCAGACATTAAAGAGTGGCCAGTGGCTTCTGGCAGAGAAATGTGTTCCTCTACAGTCTGATCATTTCTGGAGTATAAATGAAGGTGAGTGAGTCTTAATGGACTAAATTTCATTCTGCTAAGGAAGTGAACGTAAAACATTTATAGACAATTCTGGGAGTTAATCTGTTAAGGTTTTGCTATGAGAAACATTGGATTGGAGCAGAGATAATCAGTATCTCAGAGGAAGAGGAGCAACGGCGGTGAGAAGACTTGATTACAGGTAAGTTTAATTGCTTTTTAAATTATTTTTGTAATTAAAAAAAGACAAAGCTAGGTCCAATAATCTTATATTTTTTTGGAGCTTTAAAAATGCTAAGTATCGGTCATTGCTTGCTCTAGTCACTACAAATGCAGGGTTATTCACTAAACTGAGAATTTGGAATTCAAAGTGAACTTCAAAGTGAATTTCAAAATTAAAGGGACACCATGGTCACCAGTACAACTACAGTTTGCATTATTTGTTCTGGTGAGTATAATCAGTCCCTTCAGTCTTTTTGCAGTAAACACTGTCTTTTCAGAGAAAAGGCAGTGTTTACATTATAGGCTAGGGATACCCCCACTGGCCACTCCTCAGATGGCTGCTAGAGGTGTTTCCTGGGCCAGTGCTGCAGAGTAAGCAACACTGCCATTTGTGTCTCCACCCTCTCCAAGGAGACAATAAACCTTCCTCATAGAGATCCATTGATTCAATGTATCTCTATGAGGAGATGCTGACTGGCCAGGGCTGTGTGCGGCTTGTGCTGGCTCTGCCCCTGATCTGCCTCGTTGACACTCTCAGCCAATCCTATGGGGAAGCATTGTGATTGGCTAAGATAATCACTTCTGATGTCAGCCAAGCAGGCAAATCAGGTGCAGAGGTAGCAGCCGCAGACTTGAATACAAGTAAGATTTTACTATATTAAGGGGAGCAAGGGAGAGCCAGGGGGTGTAGGTGGGGTTTTAACACTATAGGTCAGGAATACATGTTTGTGTTCCTAACCCTATAGTGTTCCTCTAAGGCCAAAAGATAAACTGGAAAAGTTCTCCAAGTCAGCTATGCTAACTTGTGTGAGAATTGTTGGCAATTCGAAGTGAATTCAAAGTATATTTCAAATTTCAGTCCAAAATAGCCAAACTGAAGATAGAATCTTTATGAAATACTCTGTTTGACTGTGTTGGAATTTCAGTCAAATTTGAAATTCATTTTAATTTCGCTCTGTGAATTCAGTTCTCACTTTATTAATTAACCCTGAAAGTGAATTTCAAATTTAAGGCCAAAAGACCAACTGGAAAAAATTTCTATGCTTCCAATTTGACTATTTTGGCTTTAAATTTGAAATTCACTTTGGACTTACTTTAACCCCTTAAGGACACGTGACATGTGTGACATGTCATGATTCCCTTTTATTCCAGAAGTTTGGTCCTTAAGGACAATTTAAACAATGTCACAATAAATAACGAAAAGGTATAAAATTTGTGATATTGGTAGGAAAGAGTTTGGAATAGTACATTGTTTTGTCAGGAAATGGAGCTATGAAATAGCTCCAATAAGATGCTCTAGAGCGGCACAATCCCCACTTAAGGATGTGCAGTGTGTCTCTTGGTCCCTGTGGGTAGTCCAAAAATACAGAATAAAACAATATATAGTGTACATACATGGGATAATATGAGTCTATAAGATAGGTGGATAAGGATGCACTCACATTTATTGGAGCCTTCTTTATGGCTTATTAAAAAAGCATGGAGTGGTATAATTCCCACTCTAAGGATATGGTCATGGTGCAGTGCCTTCTCAGTTGTATATGTGAAAGACAAAAACAAATATATAGTGTTATACCTGTAATGTAGGACACTGCCCTCTCACTTCCCTCTCACTTTAACTAGTGGCTCCACCCCTTTGATGACTCACATGCCACAGAGCAGCCAGCCAGGACATGGCACTGATAGGCACATTGTGTGAGTTTGATGGGGAGCAGAGCTCCTGGACTGAAAGATTCAGTGCAAACACCATACCCCCTGAACGGCAGGTAGCTGCATTCCTGACACTGGTGGGAGCTAAAACATATGACACTGTATGAGACCTTCTGTTCCCTGATAAACCAGCAAGCAAAAAACTGGTGGAACTGCTAAAACTATTAGAGGATCATTTCCAGCCCAGACCACTGGAAATTGCAGAAAGAGTCCGCTTTTACCAACGGCAACAGCAATCAGGGGAAGATATTAAAGCATATGTGGTGGCCATTCACAAATTGGCCTCCACCTGTTCATTTGAGAGTACCTAGCCACAGCTCTGTGGGCCAAGTTTGTGCTAGGACTGAATAGTGAAACTATTCAAAAGAAACTTCTGACAGAGTAAACACGGGCGATTGAGCAATCTCAATCGCCCGTGTTTACTCTGTCAGAAGTTTCTTTTGAATAGTTTCACTATTCAGTCCTAGCACAAACTGGTGTGACTGCTGTTCTGAAGACCTCCTCTTTTACTCCTTCATTGTGAAACAGAGCATTTAATGCCACAGTATCCTTGATAGCAATTTCCATGACTGATGCATCAGTCATGGAAATTGCTATCAAGGATACTGTGGCATTAAATGCTCTGTTTCACAATGAAGGAGTAAAAGAGGAGGTCTTCAGAACAGCAGTCACACCAGCTACATGTCATGAGTCATATTGTGTCAAATGGAAGGCCAGATGTGGTCACCCTCCTAGTGGCTCCAAGGGTATTTGACCTCTGGACTCTTTCTGCCTTAGTCGTGCTTTCTTGCCATTCTTCAGCTCATGTTTCAGTTTGATGTTAATCTTGCCTTGTCTCCAGCACTAGGGGGTTTGGACTTTACCTGTGGCTGCTCCTTTTAATCTCAGTTCACCTGAAACAGATGCCTAATTAGCCAGGTATAAGACACTGCTTCTGCCTGAGGAAAGGGTCAGTTCATTGACTCTGGTTCACCTGTTTGGTTCCTGTTATTGTGTATCCTGATCCAGTGTTCTTCTTGGCTTATTTCTTCATTTACTCTGACTTCCCCTGACTTCGGCTTTCCTCGACCACTCTTCTGCTTGTCCTTGCCTGTACTGCGACTTGGAGCACTATTCCTGCACAGCCCCGTGCACAGACTCACAGCCCAGGTGACTTCTTAACTGGTCACCTTGGTCTGTGTTTATCTGCAAGGGTGAACGTATGACTCTGCACATTGGACTTCACACCAGGTAAGATCCTTACCCTAGCCCAAGCCAGCTTGCTAACAGTGTGGTAATACAGACCATGATGCCAAAACATGTCGATTTAAAGACCAACCTTGTCATCACTGCGGAAATATGGGCCACCTCAGACGGGTCTGTCGAAGTAGGAATGTACGGGAAAAACAACCACAGTACACCAAGAAGAAAACATACAGGGTAGAGGAACCTACCTTTTCATCTGAGTCAGACAACAATGAAACATTGCACAAATTAAATATACATCGCCTACACTCTTCAAACCCTCAATGACGGTAGAAGGAAAGGCATTAAAGATGTATGTTGATACAGGAGCGGTAGTTTCAGTTATCACACAAAAACACTGGAGACAACTACATATACAGGCAACTATCTGCCGAACCCCAATTAAGCTGCAGACATATTCCATGCAAGTCCTCCACCCAGTTGCTTGTGCAAAGGATCAGGTATCATCCAAGGGTCTGACAAAGAGACTACCGATATATATTTTGAAACATGGAGGACCACCTCTCTTTGGCAGAGATCTGGGAATGCCAGACATCACTAAGAACCCTTGCAACAACCTTACAGTCTCATCTGGACAGATTTATGGATTTCCTGAGTTTTTTAAGGATCAATTAAAGAAAATTTAAAATGACTGTGTGAAGCTTAAGCTAAAACCGTATGCCCATCCTAGATTCTTTAAGGCCCGGACAGTACCATTTGCTCTTTCGAGCAGGAGTAGAAGTTGAACTCATCCGGCTAGAAGAACAGGGTGTCATTTCCAAGGCAGAGCCCAGTGAATGGGTATCACCTATTGTGTCAGTAAAGAAATCAAATGGGGAAATACGCATGGTACTGAAAACTCAACTGGATGTAGACTAGTATCCTCTACCCAGAGAAGAAGACATCTTTGCCTCACTTTCCCACCTCCTACCAGATGGTTCTGAGAAACCAGTGGCCTTCAGTTTGAGATCATTGACAAAGGCAGAAAGCAACTACTCCCAGATTGATAAAGAAGCATTTGCATTGATATGGGCAATTCAGAAGTTTCACCTTTACATCTATGGTAAAGAGTTCACCATATTAACAGATCATAAACCCCTACTTCAGATCTTTAGCCCAGACAAAGGGATCTCCCAGACAACTGCAGCCCATCTTCAACGCTATGCCCTGTTCTTGGGCGCATATAGCTACTGCATACAATATTGAAGCCATGATGCCAATACCGACGCAATGTACCGGCTGACAGAATTACTTCCAGATTCTTTTCCAGCTGTCAAGATTTGTAGGTACACCACCACACACCTAGAGACTTTTGGAGATATAGCAGCCCATATGGTGAAGGATAATGCTCTGAAATCTGTGCTTTCATTTACACAAACTGGCTGGTCAGCGACTATTACAGAGGATTACGAACCTTACTACCGGAAGCAAATAGAATTGGCTGTGAATGACAATTGTGTCTTATGGGGAGAACGAGTGATCATTCCAAAAACCCTCCAGAGACATATCTTGGACTTGGTACATACTGGTCAGCCTGGTACCCTATGGATAAAACAGAAAGCATGAGGCTACGTGTGGTGGCCTGACATAGATGCTGAGATTACAGCATATCTTGGACTTGCTACATACTGGTCAGCCTGGTACCTTACAGATGAAACAGAAAGCACGAGGCTACGTGTGGTGGCCTGACATATATGCTGAGATTACAGCATATGTCAATGCTTGTATAGGATGTGCACAAACTGCAAGAGACCCTCCCAGAGGAAGTATTCAACCCTGGACTTGGCCCACAGTTCCTTGGTTTCATCTTCACTTGGATTTTGCAGGTCCAATAAAAGGGAAAACCACCTTGATTATAATTGAAAATGGCCTGAGGACTTTCCAATAACCCAGCTGGCTGCAAAAGCTACGATTGCCATATTATTGCACCTTTTTGCCACATTTGGTTGTCACAGATAACGGGGTCCAATTCACGAGACATGAGTTTTGCTAATATTAATAACATCAAGCACAAATTAACGCCTTACCACCTAGAGACCAATGGTCAAGCAGAACGGTTTGTGCAAACTTTCAAGAACTACTTCAAGGCCACAGTGGCTTCAACTAGCCAGAGGTCCATATCTCCTCAGAAGTTGGACTCTTTTCTCTTTGCTTATAGAACAACACCACATGCTACAAGTAGTGCAACACCAGCTGAGCTTCTTCTAGGCCGACGGTCATGGACTACTTTTGACATGCTTCATCCTAAAACTGTTCATGACCATGTATTGCACTCCCAAGAAAAGATGGTAACCTCCAAAGAGTCTCCCACTTTTGGAGTCCATCAAGAGGTCTGGACCCGATCTTATGAATCCTCCAACACTCGGTGGCTTCCAGCCACAATTGTGGAAACTTTGGGACGACATGTAGACCAGTTACGGTCCCAATGCCGCTTACTCGAATCCTTTACCCAAAAGCTTCGTAAGTCCAAATCCAGTTACACAGAGGACGTCTGGGATGGAGTTTGGGTTGACTCTGAAAATTCAAATGCACCTACAGGGGTAGCCTGTGCTTCTGGGTGGGGGGTTCTCATGCCCCTGACCTTGGTTTCCCAACCTTGAACCAAGCAGCTTCCCCTTTTTCCTGTCCTGCTACCTCTGACACCCTACCTCTGACACGCCAATGCCATCGCCACCCTTCTGACCACTTACAACTTCAGGAACGCATACGGGACTTCAGTCGGTCCTCCCATAGGAATACAATAAACAAGTGACAAGGTGGCGCTATTTAACAATAGTAATAAGCTTAATAAATACAGCAGCACTTATACTTGTACTTAGCTCAAAGACACAAAAAGTCACAATCAAAACAAAAAACAAAGTGCGCTAAAATTTAAAGTGCAAGTATTACTCACTGCTTCAATTCAGTGGAAAACAAGTGCAGAATGCAAGTATTACTCACTGCTTCAAATCACTGGAAAACAAGTGCAGAATGTCCTCCCATAGGACCCAGAAAAATCCTGAAGGGTATTTGTCCCCACAACTTCTACCTGAAGACTATCCTTCTGGCTCCAGCGACACTTCCTGTGGATTTACTGTGTTCATGATGGATTCTTATTGTTGTTTTGGTATTAGGTTTTAGATGTTTTTTTTTCTCTTTTTGTTTATGTTTTTTACATTTTTTTGGGAAGGGAGGTGTTGTTACACCTGGAATGTAGGACACTGCCCTCTCACTTTAACTAGTGGCTCCACCCCTGTGATGACTCACAGGTCAGCGGGCATGGCAGCCATCTTAAGTTAGTGAGTGCGATCCACTGCTGCAAAGAGGATGTTTTATTCCTGTGTTCCTGTCAGTTATAATAAGCCTGATTTTACAGCAAATGTTCTGCAATAAAGTAAGGTTGTATGTAACTACTGGCCTCATATGTGAAGCAGTCAGGACCATAACATATAGTGCAAACTGTTTCCAATATAAATTCAATAAATGCAGATCCACTTACTAGCAGTGGAGCAAAGTAAGGTTTTTCTGAATCCATAACGTTCTGGTGGTACACTCCCCAGAATAAAACAGAATGTCCCAGAATGATAAAAAAAATGATAACGTCTATCTTTGTTTAATACAATAAAATAAATAAAGTGATACAAATCAAGAGTATCACTAATGTGTTTCAGTGCAGTATATGTCTTTTTTAAAATATTACCCATAGAATTTGTGGCCTATGAAAGGATCACAAAGTTTTGATACAGAGTGTAACCATATCAATGTTTTCATTTAGAGCAATGCAATGTTTCGTGAGTAAACCCCTTTGCTACCTCCCAATAATTAGTGACATGGATTCACTGACCGCTTACATTTTAGCTTATGCGGTTTCATATCTACAAAAATACTCCCAAGGATACCTTTCCTTTGTCAGGGACACTAAATAATTCTTACAGGAGGTGGAGAACATCGACTGGAACCTGGATTATAGTTGGGCCACACTTGATGTGGCCTCACTGTATACAGTTATAAGCCACGAACTTGAAATAGTAGCTATCAATTATATTTTGACCCTTGATATGGATTTACCCCGAGGTGTAAAAGATTTAATTTTGTCTTCAGTTAAATTAATTTTGGAGCACAATTATTTTTTCTTTAATGTGAATTTTTATTTACAGATCACGGGTACCGCCATGGGCACCAGGTTTGCCCCCAGTTATGCCAACACCTACATGAGGAGATGGGAGGATTTATTTGTGTGGTCTTGTCATGAGGGAAAGCCTGGTGCTCTGGTGGAGATTTATAGATGACGTTATTATTATTTGGAGAGGGACTTTTTCATCTTTTCAGTCATATATAAATGATCTCAATCAGAATCAGCATAATTTTAACTTTACACCTATATGGAACCAAAATGAAATTAACTTCCTTGATCTAACTCTATTCTGTGAAAATTATCAAATAAGAACAAAATGTTATTTTAAACCGACTGACGTTAAAGGATACATTCATCACCAAAGCTGTCACCATCGTCCGTGGTTTAGGAGAATTGCAAAGGGGCAATTTGCTTGCTTGAGACGCAATTGCTCACACATTCATGATTTCAGGTCTCAATCAACTCACATTAAAAATAAACTATGGGAGAAGGGATTTAAAAAAAAAAAAACATGTTGGAAAGGGAAATTAGATTAACTATGCAAACAGATGGGAATAACTAATGGATAAACCCTGTGCCAAGTCATCTAATGACCTCTTCGGTTTTGCTTTCAAAACCCAATATAATTCAGACCATTTAAAAATAAGGAGGGATCTACAGAAACACTGGTCCATTCTCTTACAGGACCCCATACTTAACTCCTCCTTACCAGAATATCCTAGAGTTATTTACAGAAAAAAAACAAAATTTAAAAGATTTCCTAGCACCCAGTTATGCCATCGGGGACAAAATAGACACCACAATTTCTAGTAAAGGCTATTTTAGGGGTTGTAATTCCTGTAAGGCATGTCATACAGTATACATAGAGAGAACAGACCAATTTACTAGTTTTGTTACAAGTGAATCTTTTAAAATTAGATCTGACATTGGATGCCTCACGGACTTTGTTGTTTATTTACTGCAGTGTCTGTGCAGCAAACAATATGTTGGCCATACGAAAAGAATACTTAAAATAAGATTCATGGAACATATTCATAACATCAAAAAGGGTTTCGTAAAACACTCTGTCCCGATCCATTGTAACATCTGTCCACTTTTCTCATTTAGTAATTTTAAGTGTATTGGAATTGAAAAGGTCTTGCCTCATTGGAGAGGGGGTGATCAGGTCAAGAAATTATCACAACGGGAGACTTACTGGATCCACAAACTGCAGACTCTGGAACCCAAAGGGTTAAATGTGGACATGGAACTGGTCTATTTTTCTGTTAACTTCTAAATGTGTGAAACGTTGGAATTTGTATATTTTTTTCACCCTAGCTCTTAATGTCACCTGTTCTTAGTCCATCATTATTACCAATCCATTATTATTGTCTTACCACTGTTTACTATTAATTTATTTTTTCTTGATAACATCGGATAAACCTTATTGTACAAAGGGAACTCTTTATAGTACACAAAGGATGCAAGAAACGGAAATTAGGGTGGGTATGTGTGGCTACTATATATTATGTATGCATGTTTATTATTTCTATTTTCTATTTTTATTTTGTTATATTGTATACATTTATTCTTATATTGTATATAGATTAAAACCGTTGAGGCACTTATCACATGAAAAAAAGGTATTAGATGAAAATATACATCACTTCAGAGAAATATATTAATTCAGATATCTTTTATGATATAATTTTTTACTTGTAAATAAAACTCATTTGATATATGGAGGTAGATTTACACCACTATGGATCACGGAGAGGCTGTTTGTATAAATTGTTGACGTGTAACACACTATATTTTAATAGTCTTTTTTCTCATTAGCACAGCTTTTCCTTAATGATAATCTCCAGTAGGGGCCTTATAACTACCGTAATATTTAGGTACTATATATGATCGCCTGGACATAAAAATCACGATGGAATGTATATCAACATTAGCCGGAACTTATAGAAATAACCTTTGGAATGCATACCACTTCCGATCACATGGAACGCATACCATTTTAAAGATTTTTATGATGTACTAATTAAAGCTGCTATTTTACAACCTACCACATGGAGTCTTAGTGGTGAACGTCCGGAGTACGTACTGATTTTTGTATATCAGTTTTCATTCGCTGCTAGAATTCAAAATCATATCAGGTGTAAGCAAAGCCCTCTATGTGTACACAAGAAATGTTTCTACATTTCATGCCATTAGTACATTTTATGTACTCATTTCAAATTGGAACACCGTGTATGCTCGGACCGAAGGCAGAAGTTGATCTGATTATAATAAGTTATGTTGTGTGCATAAAATAATGATGTATTCGCTGGGTTAAGAGTATTCTCTATGGGACAAAATGCCTCTAAAAGGATGTGAAACGCATCCCGTATACAGTTTTACAACAAAACAAAAAAATCATAGTTACAGCTATCTACTAAGCCTGGGTTGAAATCATGTCAGCACATGTACCTGCATTAATTTCAGCCAGTTTCACATAACAACAATGATATGGAATAAAGCAATATATATTGATGGCAGATGAAAACCAATTGACACATCTAGTCGTCCATTATGAAATCCATTTTTTATTTATTTGCTGTCTAGGATAGCCTTATCGTCTTCTGACTTTCTCAAGAGCTGTCGTCAGAAGACGAAACGCGTCGAACAGTTTACAGCACCCCGAGGACTTAAGCCAGAAATTGTTACCCACCATCCAGGTTCCTATATATCCTGTTGAAGACTGGTAAATCAAGTGTCTGATTGGCATCCAGAGGTACCTTCGGCTGATATCTACTGTATGGGGACTAAGCCCTTTGGTGGCTGACAAGCTCTTTTAGCACAAATAGATATATGTCTCTTTGTGCCACTTATTTTGTGATTGTTTCCATTGTTATCTTTATTTTTTTTACTTCATTAAATACTTCACTATGTATATTTTTTCTCATGTTTCCTTTACATGCCATATTCCAACGTCTGAATGGTAACTATGCTTGCACATTTGTGATAGTGGCGCCCTCTCTGGTATATGTGTTTTAACTATACTACTTCTGTGTTACTCATAAACTGGACCTGGGGATATCTAGGCCCCTTGTCTGAATACCAATAGAGTTCTAAGAAAAGAATAACCCACTCTGTAGTGGAGCGCTAGTCCTGACAAGGACTTTTCCTCTGCTGGATCCTTGAAGACTGGAACTCTGGAACAAGGTGCTGAAATGTGAATAGCTCTATTCACCCCAGTAACTGGAAGACACACAGTTCTGGGAGTACAACTGATTTATTTCTCTCATACACACCCTTTAATGCACAGACCCCCAGCATGGGGTCTCCATACAAAACATATCTAAGCCCCTCCCAGACGACCCATTGTCTGAGAGATAATTGAGTCAAAACTGAATAACTCAATTATCTTTCTCAGGTACAGGAAAATATACAACATAAATACAAAACATAGTCATAATTCTCAAGAACCCCACAATTCATATATCCCTGAATAGCTCTGATCTG